AACCGCATTTAGAAAAGAATGAAAGTGTAAAACCTTTACGCAAATGCATCTACCGTATTTCGCTTCCAATGACCTTATCATAAAGCACGCAAGCGAGGGGGTTTTAATCTGTAGCGATGTGTTCATTATGATAAAACAAATGGGACGGTAAAGAAAAATAATTTGTTTGTCCGTCTTCAGTTCCCTTATAATTTTTCATTCACTCTGAAAAATGTCTTGCGTTTGTCTGCGCGCCAGCATCAGAGACATAAAGAGTTGTCGGACGGAGTGTTTTGTGTCGTCGGTTGTTTCAGTTCTCACAGGAATCGCGTCTGGGGCTACAATGATGTCCGCAAATGGTTCCAGTGCTTGACCAGTCTTGGTTTTGCTTACTCATGTGACACCTGGGATTCGAACATTCGCCTTCATTCCCACATTATGCGTTATATGAGATTGCAATATGCATGTAATATCTTTTGTCAGCATTACACGACTTGTTGTGATGGACGAAATAGTATTAAATACCCTGTTCTGATGCATCTAGTGCATCAGTCCGTGCACATACGCCCATATTACGTCGCTTCAAATAACATGCGCTCTTATTTAAGCTGAATAATCTTGCGTCTTTTGAGTATTCCAGACGAAGCAATTCGGCCCGTTGAGATCTGGCGAACGTCTAGCTCACTCTACATAACTACGTCGTCCAATCTACTTTGGGAAATCAGCCTCCAACCAGTCTCACCAGAAACAAGGCAATTTGGTGCGCCATCCTGTTAAAGCCGTTCGGGCTGGCCTTCCTATATCCTCTCCAGCGCGGGCACTAAATAAACGCTTAACGGCAAGTGTGCCTCCCCAGTTGCGTTCTCTTCTAATAAAAACGGTTTCCTGACCTGTGCCTTCCGAAGGCCATGGAATACTGGCATGTCCACCTTTCCATGTTGTCTGACAAAAAATCCAGGTGGGATCGTCTTGCGAGCAGTACCGTACGTTCTGTTTTCTCCTGAATCAATTTACTTGCAGCAAATAATACTGTCATTGCGAGCATAAAGTCCTCAGTAAGCTGCTGTTCTTACCCTGATGTTCCGACAACCACACAAAGATCTCCAAATGACGATAGAGACCACCTTCGGAAAGCTTATAGGACTTGAATGGATGGCAAACATACGTCTTGAGAATCCTTTTAACGGAACCGTCGGGTATCTAGAGTTTCAGAGGTGCTTGACAAACTGATATTTTTGGACTGAGTGTTACTTTTATCCTAAATGCTTTCCTCATATCATCGGAAAATGATGCGCGTCCGTATCAGATTTTGTTCAACACTGCCTTCATCCTTGACTTCATGGACCAGCCTTCGAACAAGGCTGTTCAAGATGGTCGCTCTTGCATGACTGCCTATTTTATAGGTTGAAAATTAATCAAGGGCGTTTACACCTTGAGCTGCATGTTCCTTTACCATTTATGGCACGATAAACGACCATAAAGTGCTTAGTTCTTGCATTATTTGGTTTTCGTCACAACATTCCCAAAAATAAAGTGTTTCGTATGCATAACATTTAACCAACTTGAGAAATAGTGGTCAGAATGTCCATATGTCTACAAAAAGACCGGCTTTATAATAACGCTGACTTAGCAAAAATCCCATGAAAAGATGAAATAAATGGTTTTTAAATGAGGGATACCAGTGATTTATTTCTGTCACGAACATCTCAATTTTTGCAAATTTCAGTTCGGATTTCTTTTTTTAAAACACCAAAGAGGGAAAGTATAGTAAACAGATGTCATAACAGCACGTATTAGGTATACAAAATAACAAACGTTCCCGGGTCCCAATATCACTTTTAACATTTTTGACATTAACAATATCATTTAAAACCTTTACAACTTGTGTTGTAGCACTTGTCTGAATTCCCACAGCCAATTGAGCATCAGCGTCACATTGGATGGGCTAAAAGCGAGCTTGGATTTTATATAAAACAAACGGAGGAAATTTTCAAGTCCGGTTTTCACAAACTCCTCTGTGTTACATTACAGTTCGATTTTTCGCGCACCTTCGTACGGATCCAATAGGCTAATTTTGTTTTCTGTTGACAGTGTTGGAAGTCAAGACACGGTTTTCATGTGATTTCTAATCCTACCTTCGATTAAAACAATTTGATTCATCGTAAACAGAGACCATTTTCAATTCCCCGTTTGCCATGATGACCAAAAACCTAATAATTAAGTATTTACATTAAAGCTGGGCTGGTAACGTCCTATTTTGGCAAAAACCAATAACCCGAAACAAACAGAAACACCATCAAAACATTTTGTGCCTGTTTTAAGTCTACTACAGCATAAATAAGGCAAACTTAGACTGCGAAAAGCGCATTCGTTATTTTTCTTACGAATTTAAAATAAACCGTCACACTGACTTAACCATATAAACGAGCGCGGGCAGCTGGCCGTCATAAATGCCCTTGTATTTACTCGAGCTATTTTAGAATACCGTAAAGCTGGCTTGTTGAGTATTTATTTTCCCAATGATTTTCGCTTGTGTCAATTTTTTTCTTATTTCGGGGCTGACATACTATAGATATCCCTAATTAATTAACAAAGAGTCGAAGATCGCCTAAATGCGGCGAGGGGTTGCAACAGCTTAAACTACATATTGACGTTTGGTTTGCCTCATTCACACTTTAAAAAACCAGGTTGAATGGCTGATCGAGTCATGTGTGGTGATAACGCGACCTTTGAACTACAGCTTACGACATTGACTTTAAGACAGCTTCATGATCGTCGAATAAGAACTAGTTCGGTCGCACAGTGTGTACTTATATAAACGACCGGCGCGTAAACCCTGGATTCTAGACAACTGGTACTCAGAGCCGTGACATCGTTTGGCTATCCCGAGGTACGATATTCTTCGATCTTATTTTGACAACGTCAGAAATTTGGCTGATTTTGTAAAAATAATTTTCCTATTTACCACCAATACGGCTTATGCAAAGGCTGGCTTGCTATCCTTTATTCGAATTAATAAGGTGTATTATCAATTGTCGAACTCTGCCCGGGAGACAAGAAGGTATTACAGTCTTGATTAGCACTACTGTATTTAGTCCGATTCCGTCAGTTTTTTTGAAAGCCAAATTTGCCTTAGCAAATACAATTTTCAGATATTTATTCGAATTGCTCCGATATTTTCAAACGAAAAAGAGTGCGCACATCAATTAGCCTAGTCGTTTGTTAGATTCTTCCAATCCTCATAGTATAAGTTTCTATATTAAAGCTAATTACCGGCTGATGGACCACGGAATTTCTTTCCGGAACTCGATTAGAGTTGCAAGGCAATAATGACTTGTTTTGAAAATAGTACAAGCATGATGTGTGAACAATATATGTGGGCAACCTCTAAAATGGCGGTGTAGGTTTGCTGATTCTTAAACAACTCCCTATATGATAAACGAATGTCTCAGTCATGGCAAATTATACATCATTTGTAGGCTAGGAGAAAGGGAAAAATGAGCACACTGACATTCCGGACATTTGGGCTTCTTTAACATTTTTGAGTACGTAACTTATAGGAAACTGGCGTGACATCTGAACGGCGGCCAAAATCGGCCAAACACGTCTTCATGGAAGGTGGTTGTTGCAAATTCGACAGACAATAGTTCAAAAACGCTCTTCGCGTAATCGTTTCTGTGCACATTGTATGCACCACAAAGGTTTTCAGTTTGCGCTAACCGCACAGTGACTGGGTTAGTTTGTTCCCCGTTCGTTATTCAACAACGTTCTCAGTCCTTTAGCTCTTTCGTCAGTCAAGTTGTCATATTGCCGATTCTGTGTCTGTGAATCGGCATGTTGGCCACCTGGCCTATCAGATCGGCCCGACGCAACGGCCTCAACGATCACAAGCGTAATCGGATATTGAAAGGGAGGCAAGGTAGCCACTGCGGTCCAGATGTTTTCAGTCACTACAGCAATTGCATAGAGTTTCTGACTTGGAAGCGGGCACTTTGAGCATCAATGAAGTACATCGAATCGAGAGCAAGGTACCCAGTGTTGACCAATTTCTGGGTTTTAGCCTTCGAAACAAGACCCATCGCGTGTGTGCTAATCAGTGCCATAGAACCGATGAAACAAGTGTGCGGGTTGTAATTACTAGTTTTGCTGGGGATAAAATGATATGGTCTTCTACGAACAAAAATTACTGCGGCAACGTTTACAGGTGCGACCTTTGTACCGGCACCCGCTGAAGCTAACGTACTCGATTAAAGTAAATAAATGTCAGGGGTCGGGCCTGAAAGGTTTCGTTTCGGCTACTTTGTTTTAGGCTAGTTCAGCTGCCTTAAACGAAACTGTAAATAACCGATCCTCTTCTTGTTCGTCGTATCACAAACCTTTACTTCTCATTTTCTGATATGGAAATTTGACCTGCTAACACAGTGAACAAGGTAGGGCGCATGAATTAGGGTTGATTCGGGTTTGCTCAACAGAATATTTTGTCTTTATTTTAGACAATGGAACCATTTTCAATGCAGCAGTCACCTTCTCTCTCTGTGAGTTAAACCCCAACATGTTCTTTCTACTATTTTCCACCCCCAGACATAAAGATTAGGTTAGCATTAAAAAGTTGTTTTAAACGTAATGGCACGATATGTGTAATTACAACTGCAAGGTAGCCTATTTTATTTTAAGGAGCATACTACTCGAATTTCAATATGCCACGTGTCTTTTCTAAAAACGTCGTCCGCCGATCTCGCCTTTTTGCTTTAGAGTGCGGAAGTCAACATTTCGTTCGATGTTTTAAATTTTGACTTTCATTATCCATCTGTGATTGATTGACTTGTAACATATATATGGTAATATTTCGTCTTAAAAATAAACATGGTTATCGTTAAAACCAGTGGATGGATTATTCTAGTCAAGAGGTTTTTCTTAAAAATTTTCAAAGCTATTTTACGCCCTCGATGTTTACTTCTAAAAGCTCTTCTTTTAACATCAAGACCCGGAGTTGTGATAGAGAAACTGACCAGATTCGTCCGATGGAACCGAAAGCGAAAAGCCACCCAGTGTTTTGGGCTGTCTTTTTCCTTTCGCAGGTGAGTTCGGCTCCTATTAACATCCTAATAAATCCTTGCTAATCTGCTAGATTTCGGGACTTTTGGCGGTGATCCTCGTCTTTGTGTGGATTCAGTCCTACGATGACGGCTTCCCCAACCAACTTGTTTTCGATTACCATCCACCCTTTATGGTCCTCAGCATGATTTTCTGCCTTGGAGAAGGTACGTTAGGGAAAATATTGGGTTTTTTAAATTTCGAATTGACGCAATTAATTTATGTGAAGGATCAAGCTCAGAAAATCCGTACCCTGCGTTTCGAACGCAAAACGACACTCGGAATTACATTTGTTACGAACACTGCACTATCACAGTATTCAGAGCGTCGTTGGTCTCGGCGACGTATTTCCGTGCTCAGACTTGCAGTCATATGATCCGCGACGGGATACTAGCGTTTATCATGATTTTGAACATCCTCAAAACCCTGAGCTGAAATCGGCGTCGAGTACTGAAGAGCAGAATGACGTCACATAAGCCTGGTTTCCAAAACGGCTGTGAGTAACACACGAGACCGAGGCCAGATAGAAAGAACGACTTCGAGAAAAATATTCCAGACTTGTGAATCTGCCGGATACACGCCTGCTCCAACTAAAATTATTCAAGTGGCGGAATCAGACAATGCAAATTGTTCGCACAATAATTAACTGCATTTTCTACAGAAGCATGACAGTTCAATTACCTTGTTGGTCTTGTGTTTCCTCTCTTGATTACTTTGATTTCACTGATATCTGTGTAGGAGACTTATGTAAGAAAATTGCAGCTTTTAAGCATCCGGTATTTCAAGTAGTATCTAAGCATCCCGCATAGTTGCCCGGTTTATATGAGGGGACCATCGGTTTTGTGGACTTTTGGCAGTCCTCAGAATCTTGGCATAGCTGTACCCGATAGCGTGATGAGCAGTATTTTACTGTTTGCATTTTGCCGTCGGGCTGTACATGAAAGAGCCTCGGGGCAAGCTTCGAGGCCACCCTCTAAGGTACACTATGGTCTACAGTCCGCAGGCTGACTAATCCCTCAGCAGACCAAGCTTTTGAACGGCCGGAGGGCAACGACCTAGGCTCTGGCTGAAGTGGCCGTAAGCAAGTGGCGCTACGAGAAAAACATATACAGTAGGTAGGCTAGCTCATGAAATGTCAATCGAAATTCCGAAATGTGCTTTCGTTTCGAAAAAGTTGATTAAATACGGTTATAAAACTAATCATCGTGCAGCACAATTCTGTAAAAAATCAGCAACCTCAGGATGCCGGCTTGCGAACGAAATTCTTTCCAGCTGCATTCAAAACCACACTCTGTAAAATAATGACTACTTAAGTGACATGTATTTTTTCATTGATTTTCGATGTCCTTAAAAATTCAATTATATTTCATGGAAAACATACATAAAAATATGCCTTCTCTTGCTCATTTGGTGGAAAATTACATCTTCTTCAAATTTCATACTCGAAGAAAGTTATAATTCGGTTTTCAAAAAATTTTCCAATTCGCGAATACTTTTGAACCCGACCCGCCGTTACACTCGTATTCGGGGTTTCAAACTTACAAGCCGTATATTTTCTGCGCACGGAAAACCATACGTTTCTCTATGGTATTAAGAGGAGACCATATGGGGTTTATAAAATTAAGCAGGGGAGTTGACCCATATTGTTAACTTTACAAGCCACATTGTTAAATTCGGAGACACGAAGTTTAATGAACGGCCATTTCACGGTATTGAAAATCTCACAATTAGAAACTTTCTTAAAACCGAATTATACCCGTCCTTCGAGTATAAAATTTGTAAAAGATGTAATTTTCTACCAAATGAGCAAGAGAAGGCATACTTTTGTGCATGTTTTCCTGAAATATAATTGAATGTTTAAGGGCATCCAAAATCAATGAGAAAATGCACGCTTTTAAGTAGTCATTTTTTACAGAGTATAGTTGTCGCATGCAGCCGGAAAAGAAATCGTTCAAGGCCGGCATCTTGAGGTAACTGAATTATTGCATAATTATGATTCATGATGGTTAGTTATAAAACCCTCCTTAATTGATCACTTCGAAACGAAAACGAATTTCGAAATTCGGTTGACATGTCATATGTTAGCCCACCTATTGTAATTAAAATGGTAGGAAATTACGATCAAAGACAAGCATGATTGCATGAAGCCGCTTGTAGAGACCGAGAATCGCATACGGGCTTCTGGTTGTTTGCGGGGAAGCCATGCTACGTCCTCTTCTCCTGTCATCAAGTTTGGAAATGTTATCTTTCCTATGGATGCCAGGGGCAATTAAATAAAAGTGTGTAAGTACGAGGTTTGCCATCTTATGCTATTGATAGGCGAATAGGCCTTGTCGAGACCGTGCATTTCGCATAAACGTGGTCTATTACTAGTGTACAAAAACTCGCAAATTATTTCCCACGGCGTTTTGCAATCTTTCGAGAGGTCTGACTGATTCTGGTTTAAACGCAACAGGAAACAGCCTTAACTATTGGGTAAGATGCTGGAAGAACTTTCTAGAAAGACCAACTATATGTTGACAATGAGTTCCGGCTGTCACTAGGAAATCATCCATTCTTTACAAATTTGTGGCTGCATTTATTCCTGGTTCGCAAGCTGCCACCAAACCTTAAGCACACTTTCATTGAAAGGAAAAGGAAGGTTCTTTATTAATCGACAAATCTTTCAGTTGTTTTCGCAAATGCTTACAGCAAAGAACTCCTCGTTTAGCAATTAAAGAGTTTTTGAATGAGCAGTGCAGATATGACGCTGAAAATAATTCGCAGGATTAGAGCACATTTTCACCCCTTTACATTTAACTGACCTTTAATGCTTTCGTCAAAGCCTGTCAAGGGGTGGAGATGTAGAAAGATCGGTCGACAAGCCGCGATTTACAGCTTACAGTAATCAGTGAAAAAAGCACGTAGGCATCACCCAACAGGTGCGAACCAACGCTCGCAACCACAGCAAGCCTTGGATGTAAACCTGTTGTTGGCACTACAGACCCTGAGTCTGCATCCGAGATCACAGTGTCCAGAATGTGCACATAATCCGATTAATAGGCCGACAATTATGTTGTGCTCTCAGAATGGTATTAGAGTTAGCGGCTTAATCTTCTCGCCGCTACACTCATCGGTCTTCTTACAAGTCAAAACTTAAATAGGGTCCACTGGTTTTCTCTAGCTTCATGTTTCACTTCCTCCCCCCCCCCCCAATTTTCTGTTGAGTTTGGAAGCCGAAGTAGCAGGCTCGAATGAACAGTAAAGCATTCCGGTGAAGTCTTATTGTTGAAACGAATGTCTCCTGTTATGCATCATGAATCGGGAAGTTATACATTTTGTATATTCCATATTTTAATAATTAACATATGAAGGATGACGCATTCCATGGGAATACGAATTCATGTCATCAAAAAGCACTAATACCGTGACGGACAGAAACCACCGACATTTCGAATTCACGTCGAATGTTCCACTGTTTGGGTCACTAAGAGACCACCATCAGGCTTCTCCTGTTTCTGACTCGTAAAGTGATCTTAATGCAGTCTGGACGATGTTTCTGCTGGGTTTCAAGGCACAGATAAAACATGTCATATTCTGTATTTTTAACAGGAAACAACTATTATTTTAAAATACTGATGGCGGCAGCATGCGGTCATTCGGAGAAAAAGTTTAATTCTCACCAGTAGAGTTACCTTGAAACCTTAGCAAACCTCGCGCAGACTACACTAGGCTCGTCTTGCGAGTTCGAGGTACGAGGACCCCGATTATTCGCAAAGCTGAGAATCGCGTTTCCCGTAAGCAGCAGATGAATATTTGACAGGAACTTCGGCGACCGGCAGTTCAACCTGTTCCAGAACAAAGTGTCTCCGATAGTGTCAATTCATGTTTATCTCACTAGCAACAAGATTTCATCCGCGTGATATTTTTGTCAGTTACCTATCGCATAATTTGCCCTAACGTCCTTTTTTGCTCATTCCCTCACACAGCCCTGCTTGTCTACCGAGTATTTCCAGGGTGTAGGAAGATTGTGTTGAAAATTCTGCACGCCTCTCTCCTCGTGGCAAGTCTAGTCATTGGAGCGGTCGGCCTACGTGCAGCCTACAACCCCGACAAAGGCAGACCATATAGTTTGCATAGCTGGATCGGAATCATCGCCTTTACTCTCTACGGCTTGCAGGTTCCTGGAAATTTTGTGCGCACGCACGAATGTACAATCTTTTTCTTTGTATCTACGAGGGAAATATTCTTGCCAGAGTATTTAAGGCTGCAACTGATTCGCTTGGCCGCCCGCGGCTGTGCATAAAGATGCCGTTGTGTCCAGTTGTGCATGAACTGCATTGATATCGCCTAATTTTGTTGTTTTGGGGCATTCCTGTGGTCAACTGTTAAAATCACTAGCATTAGATCTCAGAGCTGTTGGGTTAGCTGCATTTGCATGCAAAAACATGCCTAAATGCCATTTAGGCAGTATTTCGGCCTCCCAATGGACTTCAGTCATAACGTTGACTCTTATCATCTTTCAAAATCAGAGAGGATCACTTTACAATTTAGCTAATCTCAAAATCAAAACCAACCCCGGTTAGCTTGCTTAACATTTCGCTCGATGTTAATTTTGATTAGCAGTTGGAACTTGGAGGTAGCGAATACAGGAATGAGAGCTTAGGGCCTCGTCAAGCAAAATACTGATCAAAAAATACTATGACTAACGAGATTTTAAAGCCTCAATCAGAAAGGTATACTCCATGCACCTCCAGCCCTAGAAAAAGCAAAGAACAACAATTATGTTTTCGGATGAATACTGATTATTTTTGATGCCATTCCTGCTGAGAGTACTGCCGATAAGAAAATGGTGTTTCACCGATTATTTTGTACAAGTTTTTATAAAAAAAACCCCTGTCTTATATTCATTTTTTGAAGAGGTGCCCATTGTTGCGATGCTTTACTTACTCAGTCGGACAGATCTTCCTATCATGTCTTGCCAGCTGAAAAAAACCAGGCTCATTCAGCTAACTGAGAGCGAACGAAGTTGGTTTTTGTTCGAGTCTTCTGTCCTGCGCCGCTGTTATGCGCTCGGGTTACATGAATAATCGAACTTATTTGTACGGGAGTATGCGTACATCTATCCATTGGTTTTCCAAGGTAAAAAACTGCGAGTTGATGGCAAAATTCGCGATCAGACAGCCAAGTCCTAGATGGAACTGGGTCAAGGTATGATAGCAGGGTAGGTAACAATAAAAGTGTCTTAAGCTTATTCTGCCCGCATGCAACCAAGCATAACCCTGATATTAATCTGGGACCAGAAACACATACGCACATGGTTAAATGTAAGCATAATAAGTGCCCAATTGCTCATATTACGTCATGAAGTTAGTACAGCGCCGTACTTGACCGCTGGGGATTGGTCAGATGTTCTTTCCCAGATAAAAAATGACATCGGCGAAATAACCCGTCCTCACGGAGCCATTACAACAATGAAATAACCGATGTTCTAGGCCTCAACATCAGTGCGCAGGTCGCTGTATGCGGGCAGAAGTTGCACGTCGATAAACCGAGTCCCTATCAGAGCCCCGAGCCCTAACCAGCTCATAATCAATCAATTAGGCATAGACTGTAATCACGTTGGCTAGGAATGGCCTGTTTCGAAGGCACGGCCTAAGATTTACGGCAACTTGTCACTGCGGCACATACTTGATATGCATTTTTGTATGCATAATGTCGTCTTCCGTCCGGCTTGGCCTGTATGACTGCAAGAACAATTAATATATTAGACAAAATAGATAACGTTAGTTTGCGCGAGTTTGAGTAGCCTTTGTTTTTCATGACATATTGCGCACACCCTCAACGTGTTAGTAAATTAAACTCCTATGTTGCCTTATTCGTTTTATCGTGTTACGTGATCGATCCACTAAGTTATAAAGAAATTATCTACCGATTTCTCCATTCGTCAAATCTATATTTTACCGGTACCCACGACGATGTCAGAAACGAGCAATATTTTAATAGGGACTTTCAGACGACGCGTCATGTAAAAAGCATCTTTTAATAGAATTCCGTTACGCACCTCCTTTTTGATCGATTAGTTGGTTAAGATATTAACGACACTCACACCCAGGAATTAATGCGAAATATCAATTTATTTAGTAAAAACGACCGCATTTCTTTCACAAACCGACACCTCCAAAATTATATCCATGAAGAAGAATGTCATAGTTATTTCAGGGGAACTTTTCAATAATTAATGATCACTTCCGCTAGCGGCTTCAAAAGCCCATTTTCAAAATTCCAATTTTTGAATGAAGCAGACCACGCAAAGAATTTTCTCATTTTTTCATTCTATAATATCGGATAATATTTGAAAAATTTTCTAATGTCTGTCCAAACACTTTTACCCTTTCGAAGATTGAGGACCCAAAGACAATTTTCGCCTTCATTCAAGTGTGTTTGTTACCGGGTTGCTTTGGCAAGTCTTGTTGACAAACAACATAAATCAGTCAAAAGTTACCCGTAATAGTAACTCCTAAGTGTATATCTGGCATACAATAAACAATAAACACCACACACTTAACTCGGACGATAAAAAGGCACCACTCAATGTTTAGATGACTTTACATCCAAAGTCTATGTAGCAATGCTGCATGGCTGCCTGTTGAATAAACTACCGAGTGTTCATGACCTTCGAAAAAAGTGCAAAATTTATTTCAGTGCAACTCATGCATTGGTTTTTCATCTTTCCGGTTTCAGTGGCTCGTGGGCTTTATTGTCTTCCTTATACCACGAATTTCATCAAAAGTTCGTGCTAAGTTATTGCCTTCTCACACGTCTGTCGGCCTGATAATCTTCCTTTTCACTATCGTCGCCGTTCTCACCGGAATAACCGAAAAGAATTTCTTTCCGGGAGAGTAAGTTCCCCTGTTGTCTTGTTTAACTTTCGACACCGAGCTCACTTCAAATACCCGTGAAAATATCAAGTGGATCTGTCACTTTTGACACAGAGTGGCCTCCATTGCAAATGTGCAAAATGACATACATGTACACATGACGGAGTTGAAGTGGTTTTCGGAAAATACTAACAAATGGCCTTTATGTGAAACTTCCGCACTTGTTTTCAGTGACGGACGTATCGTGCAAATATTGCAAACAGTCTCATCGGAGTGCGATCAGGTAACTCGGCGTTGAACATCGTCGACGATGGGTTATTTGCCCTTCCACTGTGTTTCAGAAGTAGGCTTGAACTGTTGCAAGTGGGGATGAAGCAGTATGTCCTAAGTGATCATAGAGTTCGTCTTCGTATACAGTTTGTCCAGCATGGGCCACTTCTGTTTCACAACTTCGATGAACATTTGGACACCTGTTTTCATGCAAAACCAATTAGGAGCGAATAGTCGAAACCTGACTGGCGGTCTCAGGAAGTAGAACGGCTTCCCGAGCATCGGTCTTCTAGTCCTTATCCCAAAAGATGGCACACTAACTTTAATGTACCTCGTTCATGACACGACGTTGAAATGGTTTGCCGGGTCAATCCATTTTTTTCCTTTCCACTGAAGTAATGTGGAATCTTGTCGCGACGACTGGATCTGAGATAAAAGGCTGGGGCAGACCAGGTATGTTCTTAATCTATACACGCCACAGTGCATTCCACAGACGAACCAGGATAAATCCGATCGGCCATTCGTTATAGAACATCATCTCCTTTTAGGTTTGAAACCCTGTGTGACTTCTTTTGGAGACTGTAGATTATGTTAACCGAACAACTTTTCACAACCTAGAGGGTCTTTTAGACTTCAAAAGTTAAGTTACTCTAACAAGCTGTTCAAATAAAGCATGCGTAAATATGAGTTCGTGTTGAATGTACAAGATAGAAGTCTCTTGCCAGATTAACGTACATTCCTTATATGTGGACTTTGCTGCGCAAACCTGAACGGAAAGTTACGATTCGTGATGCCTATCTCTCATAACGTTTGCCTGTCTCGACCACCTTACATTTTCAAATGCCTACTTACGCTTTGATATCACTCTTATTCTACACTGTTACCACGAAACAGTTGTAAATAGACCGGACAGAATTCCTTCGTCCGTGATATCTAAGGTTGCTGATACTTGGCCTTTTTTCAGAAGGACTCTTATACACGCTTCTTCAGAACCCCTTATTGCTCCAATCCCCCCCCCTACTTTAGTTCGCCGCCATTTTTTCGAAACGCCTTAAATGTGCATTTAAATCTAGACGAAGGACTTTATATGGTCCTTCTCTGGCCGCCTACTCAGCTCTAAAAGCCCTACACGAGGGTTGACGTAAAAATACCCACACATCTCTTGAATATTCTTCTGCACTTGACGGGATTCTACACAACCTCCCTCCTTACTTAAGGAAATTTCCGAATATGGCTCCGTCGGCTGGCGAGTCTCTTGGCTCGGCAATCACAAGTTTGTTGTTTTTCCTGACAACTGCAAAGTACTTCATAGTTCTATCTTGTTCTCCTCTCTCCGTTTCGCACCAATGATCTCAGATCGCCCAACGACTGCCTGTATGGACGTTGGTTACCAGTCAAAATGACATTGATCACCAAATTTTGGAGGAAAGCCTAAGCCAAGTGCGGAACCCTGGCTACTACGATCTTCGGGTCCGGTCCCGAATTGAAAGAGAAAATGGACTCCAGTGGGGAGAGTTGTATTCTGTACAATTGCCGAAGGGGTTGCAAGAAGTTAACGGCCAGAGAAAAGTGCCTCCGGCGCCGGGAGAGCGGCATCCTAAGTGTCCGTCAGGGAATGCGTGAATGAGTCTTAAGCCAGCGCACATCTGACTCTGTCTGGAACCTGATTGGCTAGTTGGAAAGCCGAGTGGGCGAACGCCGGACAGCCCTGGTGCGCACGTGCAGACACTTGCGAGAGGCCCAGCGTTTTGATAGGCGCTCAGAGTAGGGTCACTACAGGCCCGGATCATGTTTTAGAACGTCGGCCTGTAGATGGTTCGATGCTTAGTAGCCAGAAGTCAGCTCAGCGTGTCCTTCGACTGCAACCATCTCCCATTCCTTTCATGTCATCCAAACAAGGCTATTCTTTCGGCTATCTAGGTGCTAGCCTGTATACCAGTGCTTCATTCTCCCTTCACGCCAAATCCCATTTTAGTAAAAGTCGAAAACTTATTTATTGAATCCGACGTGCACATGCCTGCTACATACTACAGTTCTTGATCTGACGAGCGACAAATGCACGTATTCTCCTGCCGTTATTTTGACCTTAACACGCTTTCGTCTGCTGCCGCTGACTCTCATTTCTTGTTAGTAGGCAACAGAGTATGTTGGCCCA